TCTCTCTCTCTCTCTCTCTCTCTCTCTCTCTCTCTCTCTCTCTCTCTCACACACACACACACACACACACACACACACACACACACACACACCAATAAAAATAAAAACTAACAAACAAAACAATAAGATGAAAATGGCAAAACAAAACAAAGTGGAACACAAAGTCCACAAAAAAATACAGTTAACTTTGTGTTAGGCAACTATTTCTAAGCATGGGTCCTGCCCTGGGGTGTGGTTAATATACACAGTGGCACTTCATTCGAGAATACCGATTTGCCAGGCGGTGGTGGCACACCTTTAATCCCAGCACTCGGGAGGCAGAGCCAGGCGAATCTCTGTGAGTTCGAGGCCAGCCTGGGCTACAAAGTGAGTTCCAGGAAAGGCGCAAAGCTACACAGAGAAACCCTGTCTTGAAAAACCAAAGAGAGAGAGAGAGAGAGAGAGAGAGAGAGAGAGAGAGAGAGAGAAACAAATTTTCCTTTCCCAGCTGGTATCAAATTGTAAATAGCTTCTTGGTTAGGGCTATGGTTCCTTGTCCACTTCCCCCTCTCAGTTCTTGGATCCCCATCAAGCTTGAACCTGTGCAGGTCTTCTGCCTGTTCTCACAGCTTTTGGAATTTCCTGTGTGCTCCTCTCTTGTATCTGGAAGACACTGCTTCCTTGGTGTCCTCCATCCCCTCTGTCTAACACAATCTTTCTCCCTCCTCTTCTGCATCATCCCTGAGCCTTGGTGGGGGTGCTTGGATGAAGACATCCCATTTAGAACTGAATCCTCTAAAGTCTTTCACTCTCTGTACATTGTGCGATTGTTGGTCTCTGGGTTATTCCCATCTACTGTAAGATGAAGCTTCTCTGACAAGGGATGAGGAAGGCACCATCTATGAGTCTAGCAATGTGTAATTAGAAGTCATTTAATTGCTATGTTTTTTTTTAATTTTTATAATTTAATTTTACATATCAGCCACGGATTCCCCTGTCCCTCCTCCTCCTGCCCCCCCAATCCACCCCCATTCCCACCTCCTCCAGGGCAAGGACTAATTGCTATGTTCTTTTAGAAAAAATAATAATAGTAGGTTTTTCCCTATGGCTATGTCCTGTCTAGTCTCAGGTTATTGACTACTTCATCAGTATCAGGTATGGGTTCCATCTTATGGGCCTTAATTACAATTATTAAAAGTGGTTGGGGACTCACATAACATTTGTGCCTCTATTGCACCAGTATATGCAGAAAGATCACTTACATAGGTCATATGTTTGCAGCTGTGCAATATTGATGAGTACCCTTTTCCTTTGGCAGTGTGCAGAGTACCTTCCAGCACCATGGATGCTAGTCAGTAGGGATAAGGCCTCTATTTGGGCACAAGTTTGACCTCTCTGTATGATTACATAAATAAGGTTGATTTCAGCATAGGGCCTTACCATCAACTTGTAGAGAACAATCAATAGCCTTCCTTGGCAATAGCTTGTAATATTGTAGGGGTTCCATGAGACCCCTTTGACCAATGACTCAACAAGACATAATTTATTCCTGACACAGGTTGAGATAAGACCTCACTATGTAGTGTAGGCTACCCTCAAATTCCTGTTCCTCATGTCTCAGCCTCTCACATGTAAGGATGACAAAAATGTAGCTCTATAAGTGGTCTAATTTTATGTGTATTATCATTTTCTATATCTAAATTAGGGAAGATTAAACTCATGGCATGTTTAGTTCCAAGAATATTCTTTCTTTCATCTTTTCTTTCTTTTTTAACTAATGAAGGAACTTCTGGAACATTTATTTGTCTTTATATTATTTTGTTATACACTGTTTTGTTTACAAACTTGATAATTTGTAAATTTTCATTGCATATTAAATATTTTAACCTTTTGTCATACTTTGACAAAAAAAAATCCCAGGTTATAATTTGTCACTAAATTTTATTTATTGCCCAGTGAAATGGACAAGTGTTAAATTTATACATTTATTTTTAAATTTTACTCAAATTAAAAGAATATTTTTATAATTATTATTTAAATTTATTCTGTTAAGTCTACATATTTTATGATTTTATTAATTTTTTTCTCAATATGATAAATACTTTGAAAGACTTTTGGTATCTGTACTTCCTTAAAATAGTAGCAAAAATTAGAGAGTCTACCCCTCAATTTCTACCTGCAGTGAATGTTTCAAAGGCTCTGTAATGTAGATGCATTATTCTGATTCCCAATTTTATGACTAATTTAATCTATTGCACAAAACATTTTGCACAACAGCTGGAGAATTAAAATATTAAACTCCCACTGGTGATTGCTAATTATTTTCCTTTTTTCTTGGTGACAGACCTCAAGTTGTCAGAATGCAAAAGGAATGTATATAACAAATAGAAGTCACATTACTGTGAATTCAATTTCCACATCATTATTAGACAAAGCCACTAATCATAACTTACCAAAGAAAACACTGTAACCTGAATAATATGTGTTTAATCTTGAATGTAAAGAATGTCAAAATGCTTCTGAAGTTTCTTTCCACAAAGTGCTCTCCCCGTGTGAGAATTAGCATGTATCTACTAGTTGGTTTCCTTCATGAAAAACAAACCCCACTCCTTGTCTAAATTTAATAGTTGGTCCCTTCTTACATTGTTTGAGTCTCAGCTGTATTTTTACTTTCAACTTTCAATATTCTATTGCTGAGTTTCTTCCCCAGGTTTCCTTTCCGTTTAGATGAGAATAAGCAAAGTAAGAACTGGATTCAGAGTCAGAAATAAAGTATTAGAATCTAGGCAATCAATTTCCAGCTGAGTAACTTTGATCTACTTACATAATCCTTCTTAGCATTAGTATCGTATCGTTACAAAGCTCTTAGGATAATCACATGTAAGAACACATGCAAAAATGCTAAGCCTAGGACACCCTGCCTAATCATAAAGTGGTGTTGATTGCAAGTCAGAATTTACCCCCTTGGCTTTTAGATAGTACCATGCCTCAGGATCAGTATTAATCCTTCACTTTTGCTCTCTTGTAAAATTAATTGCTTACATGGTTTCATGACATAATTTTGCAAAGTGTGATACCCATCAGAGCTCAGGTTCATTGCCACCACTACTGAGTTCAGTCTTTAGTAGGGGCCCAAATTGTTACAAAATCAACCTACATTTGTTGATAATTTTACTTATTAAACAATTCCCATTCTGTGTTCAGTTAAAGCAAGTACACAGTAAGCATTTTGAAGGTTGAACCCATGTCTTCAGTTTCTGCAGACATTCCATAAGCATACTGAAAACAGCAAGTACTCCATAGCAGATAGGTAACGAAATACTATAGCATTCTGTCAGCGTACAAGTTTGATTTAACTGATATGATAGGCTCATCTATCAAAACCAATTAGATCATTATTCTTTGTGAACAGCTTTATTGATGTAAAAGTATACTTTCAGTTCTGTGACAATGCACAGGAAAAGGCAGGTATAATATGCCTAGTGAGGAATTGCTGGTGAGCAGTGAGAAAGGAGGTATGGTCTAGAGGAGAATTTGAAGGACTTCTTATTTTTTCAGTTCTAATAAACAAATGACAACATGTCATGTTCATTACTAGTCTATTGGCAATCTTTCTTTATGAAAATTCATCCTTTGACCTCCATGCACCACTATAGGTAGGCCTGCACCCTGCTGCTTCACCACCTGCTGCTTCGGCTGCTGTTAATGAGCAGGGATCACAGATCTGTTTTAAAAGCAGGTCAAAGAAAACGAAAGAACTGGAGGGACTGAGAGATGGTGCAAAGTATAAGGAATGTAATCTGGCAAAGAGGATGGAGGGTAAAGTCAAGGTGAGAAGCCTGCAAAGCCTGATTGAAGTAAGAGGATAGAGATCTTCCTGATTGTACTGTATTCAGCTGGTCCTTGCTGACTTGTTTAGAGCTTCTTGTGGGTTAAATGGAGTGCCTATCTCCAGGATCTGAGGACATCCTCTTACACACAGAGAGGTTTAAAAAAATTGGAAGACAAATAAGGATCCAGATAAGTTGCTTCTCCAGTACACCCCGCCCTCTTCTCCACCTGACAATCTCTCTCCACTGCTCCCTTACCTCATTTCCCTCCCCAGTTCTGAATTTTTCTACTTTGCTACTGATCTGTCTGCAAAAATGCTCTGAAAACTGTCAAGGATGACAAGGTTGCATTCTTCTTATTAGCCATGACCATTGACTGAATTGGAGCACTGAACAAGTTAGAGGGTGTACATAACCCTTGACTAGCTTACAACTACTTAAAACATACAGGTTTTGTCCAACACAAGGGTAGTAAGAATAGTGGTAGAAATCTCTCCATCTTGAATATTTAAGTTGCAACTAATCAAAGAGAAGAGATCACTTACCTTTGAATAACTTAGTAAATGCTTGTAAAAATACAAATAAATGGAAAAATATAAAAGTAGGAATATTATTACAATTAGCAAAAAACAAACAAACAAACAAAAAACTATATAGCTCCAAAGAAAAAGATTTTCTTATTCTACTGTGAACAGGGGTATTCCAAGAAATATTCTCAAAGGTGATACTTCATTTTGGAGTGGCAACTAAGATATATTTCTTTGTCTCCTAAGGAACAACTTAATTAACTGATAGTAAAATATATAGAGAGCATCTAAGACATAACTGGATATATACATCAAAGGAATGGCAATTATAGTCATGAAATACTGTATCTTACCCAGAAATGTGAGGTCACATCAGTCAGACTTCACAGACAAAATACATGTTATCCAATAAGTGAAAATTATATTGTAAGATACAAATGTTTATGTCGGGTGGTGGTGGCACATGCCTTTAATCCCAGCACTCGGGAAGCAGAAGCAGGCAGATCTCTGTGAGTTTGAGGATAGTCTGGTATACAGAGCGAGTTTTAGGACAGGCTCCAAAGCTACACTGAGAAACTCTGTCGCAAATAAAACAAAAAAAATAAACAAAAAAGATACAAATGTTTAATATATATTCTGACACAGACAGAGATTTTTATTATGACATAGTTTATCCAAATACTCAAAACAGAGCAAAGTAAAAGTCAATCCATTTCTCACACTTAATTTATGCAAAAATGTCACATCAAATGGACCTAAACAATTAGCCTATTTGTAAATTTTCCTAAAAGCAGAGAACACTAGAGAATTTTAAATTAAAAAAAAAACATAAACATTGTGGTGATATTTTATTTGTACTGAAATGTGATTTTAATTTTATGTTAATAAATAAAGTTGCCCTGGGGTCAGAGCTATTAGAGCCATAGCAAGAGCATGGTGGTTAGAAGAGCTAGGTAGATTTCTGTGTGTTCAGGGATACAGCCAGTATTGGAGACATACG